TGACATGTTCCTTCATTACCATGGAGACACAGTGTAGTTAATTTTGAACCCAATCGCAAACACCGTCATGCTGCCCTAAATACCCACTAGACCAGTGGTTCCCAACATTTTTCCTCTTCATATTTTATACAATGCATAACAGGAACAGTAGAAAACAACTGATAATTATTTGAAAAGTGTCCTGAGATAACTTCTGTTATGAATTGGTGCCATACAAATACAATTGAATTGAATTGAATTGAATTAAACTGTACAATGAACACAAAAAGTGCAGTAGGTTTGTGTAAACCCTGAGATTTGGATGATTTTTCAGCATTATAACATTTTTTATCAGAACCTGAAATATCAAATACACTAGGCAAAATACTACATGCAAAAAACTGCATGTTTTTTGTCCAGATGTATGGGATTATCATAAAGTGGGCATGTCTGCATCCCCCAACTCCTTTGGGTGAAAGTAGTGCCTTTATTTTGACTTGTAGTAAATGCAAATTCTGAAGTCTTTGGGGATTTTAATACCATAAAACAAGAATTTATCTCCACTTCCTACGTTACATTATGCTGCTTACAAGGTTCATTATTAGAAGGTAGGTTAGCTCAGTTTATGTGAATTATTAAAGTTAAAACACCCTCTGCTGCAGACTGTCAAAACAAACTCCATTTGTAAAGCAGGTGTTTCATGGTAGGGCCTTATTTTTTCACAATAAAAGCTTTATTTACATCATCACTAAGACTCTTTACTGATTCACTTAAATCTACAGTTACAATCGGCACACATGTCATTTACTCAGTAAAATCATTAACTAACCTGTGATGAAGTGTTTGCCACAGGCTGACGCATACTGACTGTCTGGTTCCCGCAGTTAAACATTTTTATCCTCTTTGCGGATTGCCTGAAGACAGATATTTTCTTTTACTGTCCCTCCTTGATTAGGAAAGGAAATAAAATTGTGAACTGGCTTTTTTTATTTTTTGCATCAGGAAGGGTGACAATGGGCACAATTACAGCGCTTGCTCCACCTAAAAAGAGGCGTGGTAATTTTGAAGACAAGAAAGTGACATATGGCAGCTTTCATTCATGGTTGTGATGGTCAATCAGATTTCAGTGCCAGTGACACCCCCACCCCACCCCGCTGGAAACCCCTGTATAAACTGTCTTTTAAATTGAATGATGTATTGTTCTAGTTTTATTGTTTTTTTAGTCTGGGTTTTTTCTTTTTAGTTTTCCTTCCTTTGTACTGCTTGTGAGTCAGAAATAAAGACTGAGTTGAATTAAAACTGTTCAAGACTTTTATTTTGTAGCTTGTTTACATGGGCGAGGTGGAGCCGGATGTGACGTCATCTCCTCTGTGTACACCAGCTGATCGCAGCAGGAGCAGGACCGTCATTATTATCGTTATTTGTAGAGAATATCTGGGAGCGCTCAGGGTCTGGCTCTCTCTCTGCGCTCGCGTTCAGCGGGAAACAGCAGCGCGTGCAGCTGACACCGAGCCTCGCGAGGCCTGTTTGTTTTTGTTCATACATCACCAAGGCCTACCTGCGATGCTAAGCTAATTAGATAGCACGATTCATGGAAGTGAACCGCTGATAAACGAAGCGAACGGCCAGGGAATATCTTCCCAGCCGCCCTCGAGCTAACGATGGATGTGTGATGAACGTACAGATATCGATTATTGAGCTAATATCGGTCGTCAATGGCTAGAGAGTGATCGGAAGGTGGCCACAGACAGCCTCTGAAAGACGAACACAGGTACCTGGTGGCAGCAGCGCTCTCGTCTAGCAGAAGATGTGGCTCAAACTGTTCTTTCTGCTGCTGTATTTCATGGTGCTGTTCACGCTGGCGAGGATCTTTGAGGCAGTGGTCTGGTATGAGACCGGAATGTTCGCCACCCAGCTGGTGGACCCAGTTACGCTCAGTTATAAGAAGTTGAAGACCATCCTGGAGTGTCGGGGGCTGGGGTACTCCGGACTGGCTGAAAAGAAGGATGTGAGCGAGCTGGTAGAGAGATCAGGTAAAGGTCAGGGCTGGGGGTGTTTGCACCGTAATCATCTGCACATCAGCACACAGTGATGAGTCATGGTTCAGTCAATAGGAGCAAACACTGATACTTAATGGTGGGCCACTGCTCATAGTCCTTAAAGGTCTCTACAGAAACCTCAGATATATGTTTGGGGTCACTGGGGTCAAACCGTGTCCTAATAACATGATGAATTAGGAAAACATGTTTGTTTGGCACAGACTCCCAAACATTTCACATCATAGATAGATAGATATATACTTTATTAATCCCCTATTGGAGGAATATTTAGAAAAGAAAAAGAGAGTAAAGAAAATGAAAAGAAGGTGTATGGGCCTTATCCATTGTGATCCAATCTTGTTAACCCATTTAAGCATGATATCCTTCACTTCCACGTTTGAAGATAAAGTTCCACCTTATTAAGTAACCTGAATGATACATTTTCTAATGCAGCTAGTTTACCAAGCTGGATGTACCACAGATATACGATATAGGCGTGGAGGAGGCTTTCCAATTCATAACAATGAGGGCCCAGTCTGCCTCAGATCTATGGTAAATGACCTTGTTAGTCTTCCGACCACTCAAAGCGCTTTTACACTACGTGCCACTTTCACCCTTTCACACACATTCACACAGCGATGGCAAAGAACAGAAACTAACAAGGATACATTCACACACCGATGCTATGCATCAGGAGCAATTTGGGGTTTAGTATCTTGCTCAAGGATACTTCGACACGTGACACACACATGAAGT